CTCCCAGTACTCCCAGTGCTCCCAGTCACTGATCCCAGTGCTCCCAGTCACTGAGTCCCAGTACTCCCAGTGCTCCCAGTGTGGGTTTTATTGGTCTGGGGCTCCCAGGAAGTGACCCCCCATCAATGCAGTGCAGATGGTTGAGTGGGGGGTGCCCAGTGCCACCAGTGCCCGACTCCCAGTGCCCCCAGTCACTGATCCCAGTGCTCCCAGTCAATGACTCCCAGTACTCCCAGTGCTCCCAGTACAGGTTTTACTGGTCCAGGGGGACCACGGGGTGACCCCCCCCATAGACCCAGTATCACTGGTTGAGCTGGGGGTGCCCAGTGCTTCCAGTACTCCCAGTGCCCGACTCCCAGTGCCACCAGTCACTGACTCCCAGTACTCCCAGTGCTCCCAGTACTCCCAGTACAGATTCTCCCGGCCCGCGGGCACAGTGGTACGACCCCCCCATAGACGCGGTAGCGGTGGTTGAGGCGGGGGTGCCCAGTGCTCCCAGTCACTGACTCCCAGTGCTCCCAGTACAGGTTCTCCCGGTCCGAGGGCACAGCGGGATGACCCCGCCGTAGACGCGCTAGCGGTGGTTGAGCCGGGGGTGCCCAGTGCTCCCGGTCACTGATTCCCAGTACTTCCAGTGCTCCCAGTGCTCCCAGTACAGGTTCTCCCGGCCCGAGGGCACAGCGGGACGACCCCCCCCGTAGACGCGGTAGCGGTGGTTGAGCCGTGGGTGGCCGTGGAGGCCGTAGCGGGTGCCCAGGGCGCCCTGGGGGGCGGGATGTTGGTAGAACACGCGTCGCACCCGCGTGTGCAGCAGGGCCATGGCACAGAGGGCACACGGCTCCCGCGTCACGTACACGTCGCACCCCGACAGCAGGTACCCGGCAGCGCCGGTGGTGCCATCGCCGGGGGCACCGGGGGCGTCGGGGGCACCGGAGGCGACGGGGAGGACGTAACCGGTGAGGTCGGCGCCCGCCGGGAAGTCAACGTTGGCCGTGGGGAGGGCGATGGTGGGGGAGTCAATGGTGGGGGTGTCAATGGTGGGGATGTCGACATTGGTCATGGGGACGTCAATGTTGGTCTTGGGGAGGTCAACGTTGGTCATGGGGATGTCGATGTTGGCCATGGGCATGTCAACGTTGGCCTTGGTGACGTCAATGTTGGCCATGGGGATGTCAATGTTGGCCTTGGGGATGTCAATGTTGGCCATGGGGAGGGTGATGGTGGGGACGTCAATGTTGGGGGTGTCAATGGTGGGGATGTTGACGTTGGTCATGGGGATGTCGACGTTGGCCATGGGGATGTCAATGTTGGCCTTGGGGATGTCAACATTGGGGATGTCAACATTGGCCTTGGG